CATAGAGAAGTTTGCACATGTTTGTGTGAGCTGTGTATGTGAAGATTTTTCTTGTGTAGTGTTTTTATACCTTTGCAAGAGAATTCTTTGTGTCTGTGTTTTTGGATGCAATGTATCCATTTAAAAAGTAAATGCTGAGTTTCAATTTTGCAGTTGATTTCATAAAAAAATCTGGTTCCAGATAGATATCCAGAACTTCTTGTCAAAGCAATGAAGTCCAGTACACTCAAATAGTTAAGTTATGATGTTGAGTAAAAATGACTATTTTATGTCAGTTAGACTTAGTTCATGTTTGTGAAAACATGAAATATTAAGTTCAACCAATATGTTTTTCAGTTGACTTAACTACAAATTTTAAATGCTCATTAATTGATACAGTACGTTGGCTGAATTTACTGCAAGTTATTTCAATAACACCTAATGTTTGCTAAACTTAAGTCAATGCAACAAGATAACTTGACTAAGTCAAGTTGTCAACAAATCATTTTTTACAGTGTACCAGCTGTTACACTCTCAGTTGGAAAGCCCGTGTGTGCGAGAAAAAGAGGTGCGCTGAGGCTGAACGGAAAGTTTGTTTTGAAATGGTTTGTCCATGTTTTACGCACGTGCACGCAGCTAGGCACTGTGTGGACATGCTCCCTTATTAAAATCCATGTATTAGAGTAGAATAATTTGTATTCATTAACATTAGAATGAGGGTATAAGAACGAATTTATGTGCTGACATTTTGCTTGAGCATATAAATAGGCCTACAGATCCCTCATTCACTAATAATTTTGTAATTAACAGTGGCCACAGTCTGTGCGTAGTTTCATTTATCTGCTCATGGGGGCAGTTGTGGCCTAATGGTTAGAGAGTTGGACTTGGGTTGGGTCAGGGTGAAATGCAGAGGACAAATTTCGAGTATGGGACACCATACTTGGCTACATGTCACATCACTTTTTTTTCCCACATTATACCTGCCTATATCATGGTAAGGTTTAATAATTTTTTCTATAAAACTGTATGTGCACTAGTTTTAATACCAAACTTCCTGACCTAAAATGCATTGGCACGCTTTCCACCCTGCATGGTGACAAATGAACTAGTTATTTTGATCCAGAACACAGCAAAATTCATATGCTTGCATCATTGTATAACAACAAAATGCTTTTCCTCCTAACATTTATTTTATTTTTATTGAACCTAAATTCAGAGGTCAGCATCACTGTAAAGTAGATGAACTGATCATGTGGTTGCCATCACTTCTGTGTCCATGTATGTTCCCTACGTGACAAACTCAGTTCTCCACCCACCATTGTCTCGTGTACCAGTCAGTCTGTCCAGGTCTTTCTTGCAGTTGTCTAGAGGCGCTACATAACCTGTGCATGACATCCGATCCTGGCTGAGACAAAGTCAATTCTTCAGATGTGAATGCACAAGACTTCACTGTGTTTTCTCTATTTATAGAACTTGAATCAGTGCAACACTGAAACCAAACCAAAACATTTCGTACAGAACAAAGTGCCTTAAAACTGCCTGCCTACACACTGACACAAAACCTTTTAAACTCTTATTTCACATAATCCCCTGACGTATAGACGGACCCTCTCCGGGGAACAGGTGGGTCTATATCTACACAGGCAGCTCATCCTCAACTTGCAATCATTCCCTGTAGGAGAAACAGAGAGATTGTGAGAATTTGTCCAGACGTGAAGATGTTGGCAGTTGTGGTTGTTTTATTCCTGGCAGCCGGCGTGAGCGACAGCGTGATTTTGAGTAAATGCGAGCTGAAGCAGCAGCTTGAAAGTGGCATTACTCTGCCAATTCCCAATTCTACAGACATGCTGGCACAGAGTGAGTCACATCCGGAGTGAGTTACATCCGGAGCTTTAGATAACAATCATTGCTTCTGTGAGGATTAATATAGTTAATACGTTTAATTAGTTTCCAGGTGAGCATACAGTGATTTGTTTTTTGACATTGATGTTTCCACAAAGAACTTTTAACATCCATGGAATCTTTCCATTCCTCAAAAGGTTCTTAGAATAGAATGGCTGTGATATTCTTCAAAAATGACTTTTCGGGTTTCATGGAATAATGAAAACTCTTTTTACAGTCATGTGTCACGTCCAGCTGACCTCTGGCTTCAATACCAGTGCCATTAAGACGATCCCTGAGCCACAAGAGCGCAGCGGTGGTCACGGTTCTCGCCGTGGTAGGTCTCCCAGAGGAAAAAATTCAGGCGACTCCTCCAGTTTGGAAAGTGACGAGGACAAAAGTGAGGTCTGGACCCTGTACGGCTTGTTCCAGCTTAGTGACCACGTGGTGTGCCGCTCTATTCAAAGTCGTACACTGAACCTCTGTAGGCTGACCTGCGACAGTGAGTATATGAAAGAGACGATGTACTGGTCGATACAGCAAAATAACCATAACAGGGTGATCAGGACCAGTTTGGGGTTCATTTGAAAGAATTAATACTTTAATTCAGCAAGGATGCATTAAAATGATCAAAGGTGACAGTAAAGACATTCATAATGTTACAAAAGGTTTCTTTTCAAATAAATGCTGTTCTTTTTATTCATCAAAGAATCCTGAAAAAGAGTATGTTTTCCACAAAAATATGAAGCAGCACAACTGTTTTCAACATTGATAATAATCAGAAATGTATCTTGAGCAGCAAATCAGAATGATTTCTGAAGGATCATGTGACACTGAAGAATGGAGTAATGCTGAAAATTCAGCTTTGATCACAGCAATACATTACATTTTACAACATATTCAAATAGAAAACAGTTATTTTAAATGGTAATATTGCTTCAGAATATTACTGTTTTTACTGTATGTTTGATCAAATAAATGCAGCCTTGTTGAGCAGAAGGGACTTTTTTAATATGCATAAATATTCTCTAAAATGAAACGAAATGTGATTGTTCACTTTTTCAGAGCTGATTGACGATGACACCAGTGATGACATAGCCTGTGTCCAGGCCCTTATAAATGCAGTGTGAGTAAACTGAATTCAATAGTACACACAAAAATCCGAAGATTATATTATCATATCAAGCTATTATCAAGTGTAGTATGATTTAACTGTGCTGTAACATTACACAGTATTCCTGAAATGTGTTTGTAGATGTATTGATTAGTTTTGCAGACTGTAGTATTCATGTTTATTCCATGTTTAAATTATATTAGTGAATATAATTCCAGAAGTCTGAGATCCGCTAGTGAGCGACGCCTCGTGGTACCATCACAGAGAGGCTCAAAGCAGATGAATGCAAGTGTCCTGATATTGTGTTCATCTGACTATAACAGAACTGCGCCGATTCCTGACCGCAAAACTGCTAGACACATCCGTGAAATGTAAGTGAATGAAACAAGAACCAATTCAATACAGCAATTACTTGAAAACATGAATGAATTTACGGTGTTTGCATGCTGCAAGTATATTAAAAATTGACACTGAGATCTCTAAATCAGCTAATGTCACTGCTTGACTAAACCAGATTTTCTAAAAATGATACTTGAATGTTTGCTGCTTTGCTTTGACAGGATCTCGCTGATCTACCAGCCACAGTGCATCGCCGTGAACGCCACTTCATACTTCGCCGACTGTTAAACACTCTGAATTCAAGACCTCTTGTAGCTCCCTGCTTTATTTTTGCATTTCTGTGCATTTATATTCGTAGCTTTCTTGCAAGACAACAAAATCCCAGCACAAGTAGCTTGTGTTTTGTATACGAGTCATTAAAACCATTTGAAAAGCAGTGTTGTGTTCATGAGCTTCATTAATTCCGCTGTGCCTCTTCAGTCTGAAGTAGATAACTGAGATGAACATTTCCATGTCCATTGTGCTGCCAAAGACAATTCAAATCAAATGGAAAAAAAAAATATATATATATATATATA